GAAAACTGGGAGGTATCTTCACATCTACGCATAATATAAAATTCTAAATAACATATCTGCTCAGGATGAGCTTATCCAGAAACTGATCTGTTGAAAAAACTCAGGTAGGTGGGTCTCGTGATGAAATTTCCAGGCTTTCATGGAGTTGAGCATGGGCTACCTCCCCCGCCATTTCCCTGTTCTTGCAGAAGCCTGGCAGCCATGCCCATGAACTACCTCTAGGCCAAAGAAGCTCATTAACCAGTAACAATCCAGATCCAGAGACTCATAAATAAATCTTGAAAGAGAGCAAGATTTAACTCCAGCTGTATTACTCCACTTAAAATTTTTGAATCCCTGGAGCATTTGCAGCTGTGTGACATCTCAAACTCTATACCACTGATAAACCAGGAGTAGCACACCACATTGGATGGGATATAAGGTAGAAGGCAACCAATCTAATAAAGAAAATATAAACACACAAGGCTAAACACAAGGTAACATGTTAGTAATGTCTTCTATAGGACTTAATGGCTCTATGGTGAGATACAATATTCACATACTGTCTTCTAAGGAAATTTTTTTGATCATTTTAGTGAATTATAACAAGCAAAATAAAACATTTTTTAAATAAATAAAGTGAAAAATAAAATAATAAGTAAATAAATAATTTGTTTTATCTTGTTTGTTTTAATAGCCATTGATGGGTGGCGCTGGGGGCAGTTGGTGGGTGTGACCCCTGCCCCCTGGAAGATGGAGGATCTGGGTGGAGGATGCTCAGCCCCGATCCAAAAGACCCCGAAAGAGCCTTGAATATGGCACTTTTTAAAATCTCGGGGCTAGGACAAAGGAGACGTTACTGATGCCTGCTCCAGGCAATCGATGAACAACAGGATGATCGTGACCGTGATTGTTATAATAGCAGCCCCAGAGGTGGTTGAGAAAAATTGGAAATAATGATGGTAGGAAGGTGCACTGGTGGTGGGATTGGTGCTGGAACATTGAATTCAATAGATCATGAACAATTTTATAAAAATAAATAAATGGATAAAAATATCTACAAAATTTAATAATATGGCAAGAAAGGTGAAATATTCTTTCTAAAAATTACTGTACTGGCAAAATGAAAAAAAACATAGTTCAAAACATAGTTCATAGTATTTGAGGCAATTCAGCTGCTAGTTCCAAAATAAGAATGCTAAGTAAAATAGGAAAGAAAGAAATCAGTTAACTGTAATGCAGACAACTTATGTAAAACCAGTAGCATATTGCTATAAATGGTAAAATCCTAAAGCCATTTTCTTTTAAATAAGAAATTATTCAAGGATGCCTGCCATCACTATATAATTCAATTGTTTTGAAATAGTCAACAACTGCCAAGAAAATTAAATAACTGTTCAAGTAGTAGTGTAAAGATAAACTATTTCTGTGCTTATACAATGTACTAGCAAAAAAATCTCTGATATAACTACAATAGATCTAGAAAATCTAGATGAAACCAATCAACTACTAGAATTTCAATATAATTTGATAAAGTATCTGATTTATAATAAATACATTCATAAATAATTTTCAACTCTAGCTGTAAGGTCTTTTTTACTCTAGCAATGAACACTTAGAAATGAAAAAGGATTAATAATCCTTTTCAAAATTCCAATTTGTTGTATATTGCATAGAAATAATTTTCAAGTACCTATATTTTAAAAAAATCAAAATCTTGTTGAAGTATACAAAAAAAGACTTGAACATAATGAAAGGCATACAGTTATTTTGGATGGAAAGACTAAATATTTCAAAATATTTGACTTCTTTAAAATCAATATGCTAATGTGGTTCCAAATATATTGCCAGCAGATGGTATTGGAGCATAGGAAAGAAGGTTCATAAAATGATTATTAAAGTGTAAATAGGATAATCAGATGTCTGAGAACAAGTATGCAAACATGCTCAAAACTGAACAATACTGAGAATAGATTTCTAGATGTTTAGCATCAGACTGTAATAGAAAATTGCCACTGTAATGAATGAATGTGTGATAAATTGAAAATTAACCCAAAGACTCTAGAAACTCACCCCAATTATAGAGTATAGATTAATAATATGGGATAATCTGTCACTGTCACTGTCCTCCCATTGTTCATCAATTTGCTTGAGCGGGCCCAGTAACATTGTGAGACTTGTTACTGTGTTTGGCATATCAAATGCGTCACGGGGAGCTTGCCAGGCTTTGCCGTGCGGACGAGATACTCTCGGTAGCTTGCTGGGCTCTACAAGAGGGGCGGAGGAATCGAACTCGGGTTCGCCATGTTGGCTGCATGCAAGGCAAATGCCTTACCCGCTGTGCTATCGCTCCAGCCCATGGGATAATCTAATCAGCATCAAAAGTGGCATTTTATTTTATTGAAAATTTTTGGATTAAATGTGTTCTTACAACTGACGCTTTAATTAGAAAAAAAATGCTTCTATGTTAAACCAGAGATAAATAAATTCCTGATATATTAAAACTTAAAGTAGCACTGTAGCACTGTCCTCCCATTGTTCATCGATTTGCCCGAGTGGGCCCAGTAACGTCTCTGTTTTGAGACTTGTTGTTACTGTGTTTGGCGTATTGAATACGTCACAGGTAGCTTGCCAGGCCTTGCTGTACCAAGAGTAGCTTGCCGGGCTCTCCAAGAGGGGCGGAGGAATCGAACCCGACTCGGCCAGGCTAGCTGCGCGCAAGACAAACACCCTACCGCTGTGCTATCGCTCCAGCCCCAAAATTTAAAGTAAAATGTAAAATTAAGATTACTGTAAGAAACTCCCAAAAACATCCATAAATATATTGAAACTCAGAAGCTTTTCTTGACTGTATGCCTTACAATGGCAAAGAAAACCATAAAGAAAGTCAATGGACAAAGCACATTTGGACCAAGTTTTATAACATAAAATAGACAGTATCCATTAAGCAGAACTTTATAAAAGGGATAAATCAACACAAAGATGGCCAAAGGACCAGATTAGATATTTCATAGAATTGCACATTTCAAGTCAAGTAAAAAATACGTTAAAATTTACTGGCAATTTTTGAAAGTATAATTTTTAAGAGTTAATATACTTAAGTTTTAAAACTGAAGACTGTTAACTATAACTTAATTGATTAAAATAAAATTACTAATTGAAAGGGGGAAAAAAGATTACAGTTATCCCCTAAGAGATACATGATTGGGGTCTTTCTGGAAAGCAACCAAACAGCATCTAGTGAAATTAAAAATACATTTATCTTTTTACTCATCACCCCTACTTCTGGGAAATTTTCCCCATACAAAGTGAAAGTATATGTTTTATAAGATAGTATGGATTTTTTTTAAAAAAACTACTCTTGGTAAAAACGAAGAACTTAAACCAAAATGAATGCCTTTCTGTAGATTAGTGATTGAAAAGATGAGGGTATATCCATGATATGAATTATTTTGTGGACATGATAAAGACTGCATTAGTGTCAAAACCAAGCCAAACTTGAAGACTTCACATAACATACTGTTTAGTGAGAAAACTATGATGAAGAAAAACTTGTATAATGTCTTATTTTTGTAGGACATGTGATTGCCACATAATCTACATATGTGCATTTGGTGTGCTAGAACTAAAAAGGGTGAAAAATCTGATAGGAGCACTACCTTGTTAGCCTAATTAGGAGGATTTGAAGTGCAGAGAACGCAAAGATTAAAATAATAAGGGAAGAGAAAAAGATGACCAGAAAAGGCTTGGGTGCAGAAGAGCATTTTAGCAAAAACAGTGAGTTTCTGTGCTCTCTGTGCACGGTTCTGAGGCATTTGAGAAGAGCCCTTCTTCCATTAAACAAATAACTGAGTCCAACAGTGCCTCTTGTTTTCCTTTAAACCCTTTGTGTGCTGTGCCCCCAGGGGTATGATCTAGGCTGGAGGAACCTGAGAGTTTTATTGGCCGTCCTTTCTCTCCTGAGCAGTGAAGGTTCCTGACTGTGTGATCAAGGTTTAGACCAAATAGACGGATCTTCCATCTGTCCCTTAGCTGAATTGGCATGCCTATTCCCAGCCTTTTTCTCCCTCTGAAACTCAAAGCTTGCCACACTGCTGTGGTGAACAGGTTGAAGGAAAGAAGAAGGGGAAAAAAATGTTACTCCCTGAGAATTGCTCTAGAGGTGGTTTGGTCACCTTTGCAACTGAGCCTGACCTATAGGATTGGCCGGTCATGCGTTTATGCTTCAAAATTTTACAAGGGGGTGCAGTTCTTCATTGGGAGTCTTCCTTCAGTACCCCTATCACCATATCCCTTCACATAGGCCCAATCGCTCCAGTCATATAGGCTCCAATTGGTAATCCTTTCTTCATTTCTTGTCTCTTCCATCCCAACCGCATTCACCCCAGGAGTAATTTTGCAGAATCCTCTGGGTTTTTGCCCACTGTCATCTTCCCCATATCTACAGCAGGTAGAAATCCCAGAGTTCAGCCGCCTGCTGCATTTCCCCCTTTTTTTGCCTCTGTGTTTAAAAGTCTGTATTTCTGATGCTCATCACAGATTCTGGCCCCTAATGTATTCCCAATAAATGTCTGCAGAATGAATGAACGGATGAAGTGTGTTGAGCTTCCTGAAACTTAAGAATACAACCAGGGATGGGGAAGTTGTAAAATGGTAGCACTGAGGGTAAACACACTTCCCCCGCAGCGGGACTGTGGTGTGATCCTAAATCACCACTCTCATTTGTAAAGGAAGGGGGTTGTTCATTTAACAAGATTTCATGGCTAATCAAGTTGTTTATGATGTTGTTTCTGTGTGTCCTGATACTTGTTTTATGCCTGATACTTGTTTTAAGTCACAATGGGAAATGGTCTTTGCTTTATTTTGTTGGATTGGGAGGGTGTCTGGGTTCTGGTGAATCACTGGCTGTCAGGTTTGGACTTGACTGAAAATGAAGTCATCATTCTGTAGTGCTAAAACCCTTCCACTGTGCGAGGTGAAGAGGAAATGTCCCTCTTAATGGATCATTGTTCTCCATGCAGATTTTCACCGCCTTACCACCTTTCACCTTGGGAATCTTTGAGAGGTCTTGCACTCAGGAGAGCATGCTCAGGTTTCCACAGCTCTACAAAATCACCCAGAATGCTGAAGGCTTCAACACAAAGGTAAATGAAATGTTATTAGCATGCCGTCTCCTCAAAGGCCTGGCCCCTACCTTTTGTCTTCCAGCCCCATTTAATCTGCCTGTGAGATAGTGAAAGCTTTTGGAAGGACTCTTGAAAAGCCAACAGTGCAAGCCCAGTGGATAAGAAATGCGGAGTCAGCAGTTAGTTTCCACCTGGCACTCAGCACTTCCTTTCATCTTACCTCTTTTTGTCCACTCCACCCAGGCCCGGGATGTTGCTGTGAGCAGCAGTGCCCTTGGGCACAGTTCACTCAGGATCACAGTTTCCCATGGCTCTTTCCTAAGGCCCTGCATTGTGGTGGACTAAGAGCTTACCTAACAGAGTCCTCTTTCCATGTTACTTTAAAAGAAAATGTTTCTTTTAGCTAGTGAGTAAAATCAGCCAGATCTGAACCCAAATCTGAGTGCTTATGGGAGTTTGTTGTTTTGGTTTTTTTCCCCACTCTAGAGATTCAGAAAAGAGAAAGCTTCCAGGCAAAACCTGGAGTGGGCATCCTAAGATGATGACCCAAACATAGAAAGCTGGGTTGGGTGCCCTAGAAATTTTGCTGCCATGGATGGCAAAGGGGATCTTGCCCAGCTGTCTGTTCCACCTAGAGTGGTCAAGCTTCAAAGTCAGCCCCACGAGGAAAGGGCATGCACCTGGCTCCCTGACTTGGCAGAGGAAGCAAAGATTTGAAAGCACCTACGTTATCATATTCTGCTGTAGGACTTGGGCAGGAGGGGATTAAGAAATTTCAAAAGGTTCTTTGCTCAGGTAGGTTAAAATATGGGATCCCATTTATGTGCATGGTTGATTGGCTTAGTGTATCAATATTGAGGCACAGGTAGTACTTAGTAAAGGGAAAAAAATCTCTGAAGACTTCTTTTGAGCTAGGTATTATAGACCATCATCCTTCAAGAGCTGCCTTATTCTGCAGGGCATCAAACGCATGTTTAAAACCAAGGCAATTAAAATGATCCTGTTGCTAGACATAGTAGCTTCCATATAAGGAGACTTGTTGGTTAGATGTAGTTCAGTCTTTGCTTACTACGATTCCATCTATGGAAGATGTGACTTGTTCTTTTTTGAATTTTTTACATAAATCAGTTTCCCACAGTTTGAATTCAAAGAGTCATGTAACATGAGAGGTAAATTGGGAATTGACCCATTTACTAGGTGGTAAAGCCAAGACTACACTGAGACTTCTTTTTATTTTATAGTTTTGGGGCCAAACTCAGCAGTGCTCAGAACTTATTCTTACCTCTACAATTAGGAACTGCGCCTAGCTGTGCTCTGGGGACAAATATGGGATGCCAGGGGTTGTACCTGGATCAGCCACATGCAAGACAAATTCCCTACCTGCTGTATTATCACTTTGGCCCCTACTCTGAAACTTCTTTGCAGGAATTTTTATGTACTTTTTGGTATGGAAGAATTTTTATGAATTTTTATGTACTTTTTGGTATAGAAGACAGGAAATATTCCATTGTCTTAGAATTTTTTATTCGATTTTGTTGTCCCACCACTACTTAAAATCAAACTATATAACTCCTAGAAATATTTGCAGATTTTAAAATAAATGTAAACTGACTTTGCTGGTTCTGTCTTCTCCACGGTTTAGTTGTGATTCAAATGCATTCATAAAGCTATACCAGCAGGAACTAAACCTTGTGGTCCTTTGTTTAACCTTTCAAGTGTTAAGAGAACTTCTGAATGTGCATCATGTTAACCAAAGTCATAAACATTAAAAAGTGAAATGGGAGGGATTTTTCAGGGCTAAAACAAAACGGTAAGAATACCAAGTGAGAATATACATTTAAAATGTTTTTAATACTTTCTTTTAAAAATGCTTCAGTCTCTTGCTATTTTCACCTAGTGTAGCCTTCTTCTGGATGAGTATAAAACTGTGTTATCTTTCTTATGGTTCTAAAGAAAATGGATCATAATTCACTTTTCAGATGAAGATAGATTGTATATTGATCTATGTATATGTGAATATATATATGCATATATATGTATATATATTTGGTCTTTGTACTTAAGTGACATTGTCTGGATCTAGTCCAGTCACTTGTGTGTGAAAAGGAGGAAATCATTTTTTTAAACTTCAAGAATAATACGCTCCTTCTGGAGCTGCGCAGCACACGGCCAGCCGCCTTCACAATGAGGCATTTGTTGAATTACGCAGAGGTCAAGCGTTGTGGGCAGCTCCTGACTCCCTTGGTTTGTTTTCCCTTAGGTTTTCTGGGGTCACTGCATCAACGCCTTGATCCACTCCCTCATCCTCTTCTGGTTTCCCATGAAAGCGCTGGAGCATGGTAACGCTTCATGATTTCAACCGTCGGCAAGCAGCTTCTCAGCCCCTCTGGTGCCAGTGGTTCATGATTTTTTTTGCCCCCAGTTCTGCAGAACTAAAAATCACAAGAACAAATTTGAGAAGCAAAACATACCTAAAAATCTAATGAGAGCAAGTTTAAGAGTTTATAGCTTGTAGGATTTATCCATGTTGGCTCTAAAGATCTGTTTTCTTTCCAGTTGTCCATAGAATTTACATAGTACAAATTTTCAACTTGATTTTTCATAAGTGTTAGAGGCAGGAGTCTTGAAGAAGAGCACTGTGTACTATACTGAAACATCAATGCCTCTTGTCCACAAGTTTGAAATTTTCTGTTAATTCCTTGTTTTCCAAGCTTCACATACCTATATGCAGAATAACTCTTGTAAGCGTTTCATCTTACACCTAGTTTTCTAAAAGAGTCTCCATTCATTGACATACAGCTTTTCAAACAAACTTCGATGGGTTGTTTGAGGACTCATTCTCCCAGTTGGTTTTAGTTTTCCTTATAGCTGGAATAAGATGTGTATGATGTGGCAGATTCTGTATTTGTTCACACTTCTTAATACAGACAAAATGTTACCTTTTAAAAAGACAGGCAGATGATAGGTCGTTTAGTCTCAGAAAATGATGATGTTTCCTGAGAATGTTCTCTTTCATTCCTCATAAATAATATTAATCCCCTTGGGAAAAATTACTCCAAATGTTGACTAGACAAGGCCTCCTATTGTTCAGAGAACCAAAGAATATAAAGTTTCCAAGCCTCTTTCTGTTTCAGTGTGTTTTGTGTTTCAAACAAAATCGATTCATTCTCACTCACTAATAGTCTCTAACCTATTAAAATCTGACAGAGAGAAGTTAGCACAGCCCATTGATTTTACCTGAGGACCTAGCCTTTCAATCTCTTGAGACAACCTATTCCCTTGAAGGGTCCCTAAGTCTCTAGATCAGAAAATAAAATTTCCTTCTTCTAGCACCAACCCCAATGGGGTCATTCCAGTGAATCACCACCTTTGAACTTTCCTGCAACTCATATTCATGCAGTAATAGATTTCATCTATTTTGACATGGTTTTGTAAGAGTCTTTAAGTAGACAAGAATGGAATTTGATTTTGATTTAGAAAAGGTGACAGTTTGGTGATAAAAAGCAGCTATCATTGGTACAGGATAAACAGGCTATGGGACAGATGAGCCTCAGAACAGGGAAGTGTCCCAAGTGTCCCTAGAACTGTACCTTTCATACTTAAACATAGACTAAGTGATATGAATGTTTACCACAGGTACTACCTCAAGATTTCTCACCATGTTCAACTCCAAAGCACTTGCCTTTGGATTCCCAGAACTTTTACGGAATTTTAATTTACTTGCCTATTTCAATCAAATACACTTAAAAATATGAATATTAGGGACATCTTACATAGAACTATAAGGACTCTCTTGGTGTTCTTGTTGGTTAGTTGATTTCCTCTAACAAGTTTAGTGGATAATCGAGAAGTCATTTCTGAATTATTAATACAGAGTATTACTACTCCTTAAACTTCTTCACTCATGATATTTATGTCCAAACCACTATGGCAGGTTTTAGAAGTGAAAAGTCATGAATCAGTGTGTGATTCTTACCTTCAAATAATCTGTACTCTGGTAAGGAGATTATATTTACATGTGAATTATGCTATTTCATAGTGGAAAATAACTGTCTCAAGTAAAATACTGATAAAGAACCTACATTTACCTCTCAGAGAGCCTAGTGAGAAAAAACTTTCATTGGAAATTATAGATTTCTTTGGAATTTTTAGAATCTAACATTTAGTCAGCCTAGAAATGCAACCAGGACTGAGGTATGTAGAAACAAAACAAAACAAAAGAGCCAAGTAAAGTGAGGAATTTCAGGGGCCAGTGTAGAAAACTGAGAAGTTCAGCTTTTGCAGCATGGAAAATAGCAAAAAATTTTAAGAAGACAAGTGAAAGCTGGATTGTAAAAGATTTGAATGTGATTTGAAGGTTAATAACGATTAAGGGATTTTTAAAATTGGGGAATTTGGATTTGATTAGGCAATGAGAAGTCATTGTAGAATTTAGACCAAGTAGAGAATTGTGATCAGAACAATTTGGGAAAAATCCATCTACTATGCCATGTAAGGTAGAAGAAAACTAGTGGTCAGTATACTGGCTCTCTCTCTGGATATTCAAAGAGAGAATTGTAGTGAGAATAAATCCTGAAAATGGGAATGTGCTTAAAGAAGAAGACACGTGTTTTGAGTAGAACATATTAATTCAGCAAATTACCATTTATTATGATGAGCCCCAAACTGACTACAGTGGGGTTAAATGCTGCCTATAAGGCCCAAAGTTCAGTGGTAATAACATAATTGTGTAACTATCAGTGTGCTGAGTTCTATATGTTGCCTATGGAGTGATATAATACAAAGACAAAACATAATGCAGATTAAGAAAGTCCTCTCCAAGGAAGTGGCAATTATGCTTTTTTCTTTGATGGTTGTTGTCATTGTGTTGTTGTTTATTTGGGGGAGGAGCAGGGAGGCACACCTGACAATGCTCAAGGGTTACCCCTGGCTAGCACTCAGGAATTACTCCTAGCAGTGCTCAGGTAAACATATGGGATACCAGAGATTGAACCAGATCTTCTGTGTGCAAAGCAAATGCCCTACCCTCTTTATGATTGCTCTGGCCCCATAAATTTTTGGTTTGGTTTGGTTTGGGTTTTTTATTTCGGGGCCTCACTGAGCAGTGCTCAGGAGTTACTCATAGCTCTACACTCAGGAATTACTCCTAATGGAGCTGGGGGAACCATATGGGATGCCCAGGATCAAATCTGGATCTGTCACATGCAAGGCAAACACCCTACCCACTGTACTATCACTCCAGTCTGATTATTAAGCTCTTGAAAGATGAGTAGGGGTCTTCAGGCAGGTGGGGCAGGCAAGGTAGAGGAAATTAGAGGGGGAAAATGGTCTTGGTTGGGATCAAGGAACCTCCGGGACATTGGGCATATATATTTCTAATGGGATCTGAGCTCTAGACTTTATTTTTTTTCAGTGCTATGAATCAAACCCAGAACCTCATATACCTACTCCTGAGCCCACCCCCATTCTTGAACTATGTTCTCTTTTTCAGACACCAATAAGCATCTCAGGGCATTGAGCAGCCTTGACCCGGAAATAAATTTTGGGAACATTGTCCCTTTCCATGTTCTTGCACAGCTAGAGATCAAAACACATCTCCACACATTCTTCTGGGGCCACCCATGGCACCCCTTAGTTCAGACGATTGTAGTTGCCATGGTTGAAAAGAGGGCCAGAGTAGTTCTATGAGGATCAGATCAAAAATCAGAAGCGGACTTTTTCTCAGTGAAAAACAAGAGGTAGGAGAAGTCTAACCTAAGATTAGCCCCTGAAGAAGGTAAGACCATTCATTGAAGAAGCATTAAGTGTTTGGTGAGACAGTAGGAATTCCCTCAGTGGAGGGGTTGGGGAGATAGTTGTGGTAGAAGCCAAGGAAGAATGCAAGTTTGAGTCTGGAATATGCAGGTAATTGGATTACTTGTTTCCAGGAGTTGATTTGCTGTCTTAAATACAAGTGTGTTCTTACTACCCTTTGAATTGAGCTTTGTAAAGATGCATTCTCCTTGCCCCTAAGAGGCACAGGAACACCAATGTGAGGCCTTTTGGAGCATCTGCAAAGCATAGGGACCCTACTGGAGCAGAAAAGCATCCAGAAAATACCTTCACCCCTAAGAATTGCCTGACACTGTCCTTCAGATAGCTGCCCACCCCAGAACCCTCTAAGACTTTTTGTTGGGCCAGGGTCAAGGGCCTAGGGCCCTTAGAGTCACCTCATTTTCTTACTGGACACTGTGGCCTATGTTACAAAGAGGGTTAATTCTACTGGGAAATATCCTCTTCACTATTCGTGAGGAGAGACTTAGGGAACTCTCCGCTGTTCCCCTAAGGCACATGATTAATTGCTGGGAAGAAATGTTTTTGAGAGGGTTCTATTCCTCAGAAAGCTTCCAAGAATTTTCCTTTGGGGTGTGTGTGTGTGTGTCTGTGTGTGTGTCTGTGTGTGTGTGTGTGTGTCTGTGTGTGTGTGTTTCCAAAGCACTCCTTTGCGGGTGAAGTTTGGGGAGTTTTAAAAGGATTTTTTTTCCACTCATCAGTTTCGTAATTCAGATGTCTTCCGGCAATTATAGCCTCCCACATCCTCCCCTGGGACCCTTCCCTTCCCACCCTGTGATCTGAAAAGTTCGAAGTTAAAACCAGAGATGTCTCCTTCACAGGGAAGCAAACCCATCGAGAGCCTTGGTGGTAGGCCACGCCTGGGTTTTCCATTAGTGGATCCAGTCTGCATATTTGAACAGGCCTCCTTGACTTGGAATGTGGGTATCAGCCAAGGAATGTAAAAATCAGTTTCGATTTAAAAAAAAAACAGAAATTTGGAGATTTTGCTTGATGAAATTCAAGAGGGAAGAATTTGAATGATCATATACCTACCAGCAGATAAAACTTCCAAAGAGGGGCAGAAGAGATGGCTCCCTGGACTGGTGCTAGCTCATGTTTTCACCTAGGAGACCCTGTCCACCTCCTGGCACTCCATAGACCCCCTAGCATCACCAGGTAGGATCCAAAAACTAAAATCAAAATAAAACAAAATTCCACCAAAATAATTTTTTTTCTTGATTCCTCACAATCTGGAAATCATTCCCACCCCACCCCAACCCCCTTTCAGAAAAGAAAATACCATGTAGCTACTTATCTCCCCTGGGTCCTTCAACATTTTTGGAGAGGGATATTTTACTCTTTTTTAATAAAGATGCTATTATAACATCAGGCATATTTTATAAACAAAAAAGAGTAGTGCATATGTATAAAATGAAACATAGACTAATGCCCTTGGCATTTTCAAGTCATTTTAGATTGAACTATTGATGATCTATGTCTGCTCCTGGTAATTCATGATGACTTG